TGAATATTAAATAGATATAATGTAACTTTTATTCTATTCCTATGTTACTCACTTATTATTAAATTAAAAAAGGATCCATGATGATCCCTCATCAATCAAAATCACATAAAATCGTTATTAATATTCTTAATACTGAGTTACTAGTATCTGTAAGACTAGTATGAGTCTTGGAAATTTTAGTGTTTCCCCTGAATCCAAAATTCGATCATTAATCATTCTGATTGTATTACGCATATTGAAAATAATTTAATTTATACTTTAAAATTTTAAATTTCTCAGCTTTAATGTCTTTAATAGATATTCAAAAAAATTAATAAAGTTTTTTTTCTTGACAATTTGCTCTCGGGTGTTGTTCAGATTTGATTCGTAAAACATATAGTGAGAAAAGTGAAAAAAATTGAAATTAACTTTGTTTAAAAAGAAAGAAATGATCAACAGAAATTTATCAGAAAATTTTCGATTTATAGGCTGGTTGCTTTAAATTAAATAAATATTAAATGTCTCTGTATAATATAGATGATGATGAAGAAAAAGTTATAATTCATGGTTCCCCTTTTCGCTTGCTAATAACTGCTAATGAAAAGTATTTAGCTGTAATTTATGAATGGGGCGAACAAGAAGGTCATTACTATTTATTTAGAATTTATGATATAAGAATTACTAATGAAATAGCTTTAGGATAATGGTTATGGGTGAGACATAATTATTACAAAAATATACAACATTGTTTTGACCGTTATTCTACATATTTTATTGAGGTCTACAAAAACATTATAACATTAGTTAATCTATAGAAAAAAACATAAAAAAAAACATTGCTTTGGGAATTGAAAAATATTTGGATATTGATGATACTGGTTTCATATATATACTAAGTAATGATTGTGTGTATCAATATTCAATAAACAATGAAGAATTCCTAGATCGTTTTTCGTTTGTAAACTCTATAGACTTCAAAATAATGTCCAACTTACCAAACTATGCATTGACAATTTAAGTGATAAGCAAATAATAATGGATAATTTTAGAAGATTTACATCGTTAAAAATTCTCGAAAAAAATAAGTTAATCCAAACTGAGTGGAAAAGAAATACACAACTTAGAAAACCTATTTTATTTCGAAACATAAACACTTGAAATAGATGAAGGAATGGATGATAATTGGTAGATTTTAAGTGGAACATTGGGATAAATGAGATCTGGTAAAATCCTCAGAAAATTAGTTTTTGCAGGGATGCGGGAAAAATAATTTATTATAGATAAAACTCAAGTCTCTTTTTGTGGTATAATTGATTATGCAAATTTATTCAAATTTGACTTATTGACAGGGAAGCATAAGATAACACCAACTTAATTCAATTATAAGTATCAGGATGTCGTGAAAGTTTCAAAAAATGCTATCGTATACTCTAACAGAGGTGGAAATCAAATGGTATTTGTTAGATTAAAATGAAATATTATCTAATCATCATCATAATTCCTTTTATCAATGCTTTCTCGTTCAAAAAATTGCAGCATTTTCAAAATGAATAATAGATATTTGAATTAACTTTTTCCTCCCAACAAGATAACAATCCAGTCATTCAAACTGTGGATAGAAAATGCAAATATCAGCCAATTTATTGCAGATGTTAGTTTTATATTGAAGTCTTATATAGCATTTAAAACCCTTTAGCACGATAACAAGAGTTAAAATCCTTCAAATTACTTTATTTGTTTGTATTTATATCTGTACCTCAAAATTAAATATGATTCTTAAATTCACATATACAATTCTCCTTTTATTTCTTATCATTTTATACAAAAGTTGTTTCCCAAATATAACTTTTTAGAATGAATTTTTCTAACAAAAAGTTGAAAATTTTCTTATGATTTATTTTACCAAAAAAGATAAGATGGTGACACTATATACATGGTTTAGAGATGAGGTATGATTCTAAACAAAATAATTCAATGAAATTGCATAAAATTAGTTATAACCTAACAATAAAAAGTGAAGCATTCTCAAGAATATTTTTGAAGTAATATAGTTTTTGAGTAGATAATTAGAATAAAGGCCAATAAGTCATGAGTTAGGAATAGAAA